CACACAGACAACCTCTCGTCAATATGCGTTTTTCGCATTGCATTGCTGCAAAAAGCGCATAAAAATATAATTTTAAAACAGAAACGCGTTGGGGCGGAGGGGGGAAAGAGGCAGGGAAGGGGAGGAGGGGAGAAGGAAATTATGAACAAGACATGAACTAGGATGGAAATAGGAGGGGAAGAACGAGTTAGAAATGACAATGTGAACCTGAAACAAAGCATCTCTTCAGTAGCATTTCCACAGAAAGAGGTAGGGGAAAGACGCGTAAGTGCTGCTGATAAATGAAAAAATTCAATAAAACTAAACAATTTTAATGCCTAATCGTTGTTCAGAATTGCATGGTCTATCGTGATTTGGCTGGTACTAAAATTCAGTGGCTCAGACTGCTTGTATAAAAAAGGAAAAATTTAAAAAAAAAACGTAAGCTATCTGCGTGAAGCGAAAACTGATGAAATTCATTTGATTTTCTTGAAACACCGATTTTCAGGCAAGTGCAGGCCGAACAACGCTTACTATTGCCCATCGTCTTTCAACTGTTAGAAATGCAGACCGTATTATCGTGCTTGAAGATGGAAAAATCGTTGAATCTGGTACACTTCGTAGTGCTTTCAATTTTACAAAGCTATTGAGCCTTGGTGAGGTAGAGTGAGGGGACGGAGCTAGGACTTCTGCTGGATAGTGAAACAAGCAGTTTTTCCTAATCAAACCTGCCCATTTCACGCAAGGTCACAGATTTTTTGGCATCGGCTTCTGCTCTCTGCACGACCAACAACTTTGTACACGGTAACAGTGCAAGAACTCAGTGCAACCAAATTTCGTAGAATACCTTAGGAGCAGCTGCAGTGCTGAGGCGAATCCGTGTTTTTCAAGAAAACTGAATTCTGATATTTAATTTTTTCAGTCATTATTAAGTTTGCTTTTCCCGAAATTGATTTCATATTTGAAAATTCAGGGACAAATTGCCCTCGAAGGCAATTACTACTTTCTTACAAAACGCATCAATTTTAGGAACGCATGCGGAGCTAATGGCACGTCAGGGAGCGTAC